ACTACAGATTTTAATTCCAAAAGGTCCTTCCTACAACTTCCACAATTTTCAGTCAACAGGGCCTAAGAAAATTAAAGAGATGTGTCTAAGATCACACATAGACAGGGCAAGAACTAGAAAACAGATCCTTGACATCCAAGACCTCATTCTTTCTAGTCACCCAAGAGATCTAGACCCTATAGCATATGCAACCTACCAGTCACATGGCACGGCGCTCAGTTCCTAATTCAGTCATTTAATATTCTGTCTTTACCTGTCAATTTATTTATCATGGTCACAGAACTGATATTCTTGTTTTTGATCAATTTGAACAAGTTAATACTGAGGTATGAGCCCTGTAGCATGTCCCTCAAACACTCCATTCATATGGACATCATTCTCTTCATCAGCACACCTGAAGTGTCCACATTCAACCAATAGTAATACAGTTTATAATAGTCCATTTATAAGGATATCACAAGACTGCAAATGTTTTTCCTGATATGAGAAAAATTTCGTCCATGGTACTTCCACAATAGAAACATTTAATAAATAGCCTTTGATGAATGAATTGAAATTGATATAACTATTTTCATTCCCTATCTAGCCACAATTTATTTTTCATATAGATAAATTTAATAATTTAACCATTTATATATTATGTATGTTTTATGTCCAACTTATATATCTATTAATTAGTATAATTTATTTTCTTCCCATCTTGCTAATCACTAGACTTCTAGCATTTATCTTCTAAATAGTTATTCCAAGATGCTGGCAGACTCAGATATATTTTGGGATAAATTTTGTCATTGTTTTAATTCCATTATTTTTTTCACCCAAATTGCCAAGAATGTAGTCTTAGTTTGGGATAATACTAGGAGAGATGGATTGCAAATCTTTTGTTTCTGAAGTGCATGAGTTAAAATTGGAGTCATCTGAATATACTAATCCTATATAATAAAGCGGTAATATGCAAATTGACAGTGACCTCTCCCATTGGTCACAAGATGGCCAACACAAGATGGCCAGCAGGGGAGGGAAGTTGGGGGCAATTGGGCCAGCAGGATAGCAGTTAAGTGTCAATCAGGCTGGCAGGGGAGTGGTTAGGGGTCGATCAGGCTGGCAGGGGAGTGGTTAGGGAGTGATCAGGCTGGCAGGCAGAAGCGGTTATGGGCAATCAGGCAGGCAAGTGGTTGGGATCCAGCAGTCCCAGATTGTGAGAGGGATGTCCGACTGCCAGTTTAGACCCGATCCCTGCTCTTTTAGGTCCCAGATTGAAGAGGGTGCAGGCTAGGCTGAAGGATACCCCCCTCCAGTGCATGAATTTCATGCACCGGGCCTCTAGTTATACATAAGATTTAACTCAAATAAATATTCAATGGCTTATGAGTCAACATCTATGTTTTACATCTAGATATTTAGGAAACAGATGTTACTGCCAAAACTGAAAAAAAATTAAAGAGTGTATTTGATTTACTTTACCAAAACATCCTAAATATGAGATCTGTTAACCTCCTTTACTTATTTTTCCTTATACTGCATTTGATTTTAATTCAAAATAGCAATAAGGCAAAAGAGACTCATGAAATTTTAGGTTCTTATAAGATCTATCATTCTAGAAGAGATTTTTTGAACTGCAAAAACATTTTATATCAATCCTACAGTAGTCTGTACACATTTCCTGAAGGAAGATGTTGGCAAAAATATTAAGTAATTACCACAAAAAAAGCACTAACTTAGACAAGACCTTGAGTTTTGTGTGATATTTTATATTTTGCAATTGTCTGAAGGTATTTCTACTTCAACTGCAGGCATTCTTATGTTAACTACTTTGTTACATTAAAGAGACTATTAAGTCAATATACATATTTAAATAGACATATTTAAAGCCAATGGATATATAACCTGCAGAATTTTAAAACCTAGAATATTTGCTATAAATTGAGAATATCTTTGGCTGTGTTATGAGGTATTCAAAGTCTTTTTAAATTATAAAATACTTTATATTAGAAAATTTATTAATGTGCTTGCTAACATTTTTGAAAGTATACTATACATGTGACTCAAATGTTAGTCAATTCTATAGATTACCTTCTAGACCTTAGTAAGTTGTTTGGAGCCTTAGAATTTTAATACTGATTTTTAGGTTCTTCAACAAACTAATTTTTATAATAAGGAAATATTTCTAGAGATATTAATTTATTTTTTAAGACTAATATTTCATCTTTTTAATATTTAGTGCTAGCTGGATCTACTAGCATTATTTTCAAAGGGAATACATATTTTGGCAGAACATATGCAAAGATCAAGTGGGGATTGTTATTCTGAAACTTTTTACAAGGTTCTGTATAATAGATATGTAATTTATTTCTACTGGCTGTTCTTTAAAGAATTTAATCTATAAGGTTTGAAATTAAGCATAATTCCTAAAGTTGTAGGAGAAAGACTGATGGAAGCAATGCTTCTCAATAGTTGCAAAGATTTTCTCAGTGATTTGACAAATTTTTATTTATTCCAGTTCATATGTATTTGGGAGCTCAATCAACATTCACTATTTTTTATTGCTAGGAGGTTGGCTCAGCGTTGTTCATGGAGTTGTTGTTTATCCCAACAGTCAGAATGAATTTGCACTATTTTAATCAATAACTCTCTTATTTTATCTCTGAAGTCAAATCTGTAACTTCAAAGATGTATTTTCTACGAGACAGTATATAATTACCTGGCCCATTCAGAGGACTTACTATATCTTAGACCTAAGTAGACATATTAAAGTATAAATATAACACAATTACTAGAAATAACTCTTTCAAACATACCAGACAATATTTAATTTCGGATTTAAAAAAAAGCAATTTAGAGGAGAGCTAGCTATATTCTGAAATTTCAAATTTTTGGAAAACAGTGTTACTTTTGAGATACTCACAGTAATACCAATAAGTGACTGTGAAAGCACTCTAAGAACAAGGTAATTTATTATAGGAAGTCCATAACATAAATGTCATTTTGTATTATTTCAACCTAGAACACAATCTGAGAGAAAGACATATGGACTGAAAAATTTAAATGTGTTATTTTTTTAAACATTCCAAAAGGATTACACTCTCCATTTAAGTTGATATTTATACTTTAAAATTATAGAATGAAATTATAAGGAAATATTTATGTCTTACTTTTATAAGTTATACAGAGGCAAAGGCAGAGTATCCTCTCTTGTTTTGTTCCTTCTGGGACTCAGTGCAAAAATAAAAAGTAACATTCATTAAATTTTAATTTCTTGCTAGAAAAATATTACATGTATATGAAGAAAAAGGAGCTATAATATACAATTATTGGACTTATTTAAAATTTTCTAGGAGTGAACAGGGGAAAACTGTTAAGGAAAAAAAAAAGATGCCTAAACCAATAAGAAACAAAAGACAGGAAACTAAGTGAGTAATAGCAAGGCAGAAATTATTCTGAAATATGTAGAACATCACATCAGTTATTATATGTGATGTTGCCTAAAACATAGCTATAAGAAAATATCCCCCTAAAGATCACCTTTCAATATGAGTAGGATGTTATGAAATAAAGGTTGAAATTGCAAAAGAGAAACTGTTCACTTAAGACAACCAAGTTATTGAAATTCTCCTAGTTTTAGGATTCCTTTTTAGATGCTAAAAGCATAATGTGGTGGTTTGTGCACTTCATTTGTAAGATTTTTTTAAAAAAGAGAAATAAAATAAAAAATAAGTATTATAGGCTGAAATTAGTGAGGTAGAAAAGATCATGTATACTTTTTGTTTTCAAATACTAGAGATCATAATAAATTGTTAACTGAACGTAAGTCTTATCTACCATTATTTGTCAATAACAGAAGAAAAACATATTAGTATTAAAATGGAATCCATTTTCTACATTAAATTTTTAAAACCTAATTTTATTGTTGTTAAGTGAGTGTTTGTAGGTAAGGGATTTTTAAGATGTTAAGTGTTTTTTAAGGGAAGTATCCATGTAGTTGGTAGTTCTACATAAATAAGTGAATCATAAATTGAATAAATAATAATTGGCATAATTAGCATGACTCTCTTATCCTTGGAAAAATCTCTCAGATTTGCATTAGGTACACAGCAGCTGGAGAGAGGAAGATGGAATACGTGACTGTGATTCTTTTTAACTCTACAAATTTATCAAAAATCTCACTCACCTAAAATTGAAGTTCTCCATAGGATGTAATAGACATTCAATAGTGTCTATTTTGTCCTGAAGAGATATATGATTAAAAAAATATATATAAGAGTAAAAAAAAAAATCTCACTCACCGAGTCACATAATGGTAGTCTAAATAAAATCTTAATTAAAAATACTGGTAAATGTCAATATTATAATTTTAGAGCATTTCTTGTTTAATGTGAATATTCAGAAGTTGGCTTTATAATGTCACCCAATAAGTTGTAGAAGAGTATTAATGCAACTCTTATCTTTTAATCAGATATACATGATGGCTGTGTAGAAATCAAATGTGGGGCAAGGGAAAGGGTGAGGAAAGGTGTCAGGAAAGTAGGGAAGGAGAGATAGGTAAATGGATATTAGGAAATTATAAAATATAAAAGAGATGCCATTATTGGGATCAAAGAAGCTTCTGGAAAATTATAAAGTGCATCAGAGGATTCTGTTAAATAAAGGAGAAACATAGCTAGAACTTCAGAAATATAGTAAATGAGACTCCACTTAAAGTAAGATTTCAGAAGTTTCTTGTGGAGTAATTGAGGATACTCTGAACAAGGTAATAAAAAGTCTTTCTGTAGGAAAGTGACTATTCTACCACAGACTGAAATTGCACATGATTAGTGGCTTATAGAAGATTAAAAAAAAGCAAAAGAAAAATCGGATAAAAAGAAAGAAAACATGAGACAAATAAAAGTAGAAGCAAAGCATCAAATAATATTATACAGTATTAAGATACCATAGGTAGGTATTCTTTATCTCTGATGTGCCAGAACTTACACAAATGCTAGGCAAATTATATGTAACAGTACCTTTCTTTTAGCCTTTAGCTGCTCATGATACTTGTCACAGGTGTCTCCCGGGATCTCTCCTCCCCAGAGAGTGATTCCAACAATGGTGTATGTGATGCCCATGACAAGCAATGGGAAACAGTACACCAGTATAATGACAATAACATGGTACCTGAAATTAAAAAACAACAACAAAACTCACATGCTGAAGAGCATATTGGGATGAAATAGTGGGATTTTGAATTCATGCCATTTTAAATCATAATTTAAAATGCTAAAGAATATTTCCACATTTTCTCTAAGTCTTCATTTCACACTCATTAACATACCAAGCTATTGTCGCCTACAGTTATCCAAATGCTACCAGTTGATTTCAATCCATCTTTACTTTATACATGAAAAACATAGCTGAGCTGCAGTGTTCATTTAAACCACACCGGCCCCCATCCCCACCTCCTTGCCTAGAGGGTCAGGATAAATGCCTTTCCTCTGCTTGGTAATTAGTGGGTTAACCTAATTAAATGTATCATCAGAAGAAAAGAGATGGGGCAGAATAAAGTAATCAACTGACGATATTTTCTCCTATGTAAAACTATTCTATATATCCAGTGACATCATTCATATTTGAAATAAATTATTTTTCATCCAAATGAAAAAAAAATGTTAAGCGATACTGTGAGCCACATTGAATTCACAAGCTATTTACAGTGATTTTAAAAATCAGGTAAAGACATTTACATGTATTTTTCCAAAGTCATGGAACATTTCATTGCATTGTTAATTTGGTAAATAATATATAGATGTATCAGTCACAACCAAGTCATGATGCTATGCATTATCAAACAAAATTCTAGGATTTCATAGCCTTCAATCAAAATTATGAGGCAATTAGGGAGGTATAGAAGGTAAACAATAATATAACAGTCAAATTAGAATTTGTATAAACTTTTGTTTGGCTTCCTCTTTCTTAAGAGGCTTTAAAGTAATTACAGAGTTTGGTATGCTAATATTCTCAATACCTTTGGTGTTTGTTTCTTTTTACTCCCTTTACCCCTTACTACTTCCCCACTCTCCCTTCCCTCTGATCAGCACCATACTATTGTCTGTGTCTATGAGGTTTTGCTTATTTCTTTGTCTTGATTGTTCATTTGTTGCTTTCAGTTTTATATCCCACATATGAGTTAAATCCTATTGTTCTTGACTTTTTCCCTTATGACTTATTTCACTTAGCACAATATTCTTGAGTCAAGACCCATCCATGTTGTCACAAATAGCAGTATTTCTACTTTTTTAAGGTGGGTCCAAAATATGAAATGTCAAATTCTATCATACAACATTCCTATTTTCTTTTCAACCTAGTGTTTAAATTTCTTTAATGTTAAAACAAAGGAACACAACCAAGAGCCTACCAGGACTCCCCTTCCCTTCAACCAGGCTTCTTAAAAGAGCAATCAACACCTTTGGCCTCTAGTTTCTCCCTTCTCACTCATTTCTCAGTCAATAACAACCCTGCCCTCCTTTGGGTATTGCTTTCATCTCCAATGAGCTTATTACCTCCTCTAAGAAATTCTCCAGAGCTGTCCCATACAGAAGTCATTACATTTTTTCAATTATAAATCTTTATGATTTACACCAACTTAGTGACCATATCATAATGTATTTTAATATTTGTATGTGTCTGTCTTCCCAAGTAATATGTGAGACATTGAGGCAAACGCCTATGTCTTATCTGTTTAATTGTTGCTCCCAACCTACAGTTCCTTAATTGTTCAATAAATTGAATTGAAAATTACAATAGAGAACTAACTTAACTTACGTGAAATGTTGTTTGGAACCGTCTGGCCATTGCACATAGCAAAGAGTACGGCCCGGCATGACTTTGGTTTTGGAGTAAAGACACTGAGGAAAGGCTAGTAGAAACGCTAGAATCCAAATGCTGCCAATGACAATCTTGGTTGCTGTGGCAGACAGTCTGGGTTTCAAGGGATCAATAATGGCCATATACCTATATGAAAACAAATAAACCATTTTGTCAGTCTCTTGTTAGTGAAGTTTAAAAAGTAGTTTCAAAGGAGTTTCAGTGGCCAGGGTTCTTTCTCTTCTAGTAAACAAGTTGATAAGGATTTTGCTTGGGTAGAGGCAGCATAGAGTAATAACTACAACATAGTCTTTGGAATCAGACAAATTTGGTTCAAATCCTATTTTGTCATTTTTTTAAACCTTTTTGAACCTCAACTTCATTATTTTAAAAATAGAAATAAGAACATCCACCCCTTATGGGTGAAGACAAGATCAATAAAAATAATGTAAGTTAAAGGCTTTGATTATTTGGTGCTGTGCCTTGCACATTATCAGCATTCATAAAGGTCTGCTGAATGGAATTGGAAATGTGAGTAATAAGTGCTTAGAAAATAAATTCAGTACCTCAAGACCTCCATTTTTTCTTCGGTATGTTTAAGTTTTTAAAAGATATTCTAGTGACAATATGGGTAATATCTACATGATTGATCAAGATGAAGAACCCCTATAAAGGATATCATCAACATTTCCATCTAAAAGCATGAAGAGACAAGTTCAGGATTCAAATAAAGATGAATAAATCAAGTGTGATTGAGGCTATGCCTTCCTGCTACCTCCAAAATTGAATTCATACTGCATCATGAAAATTTTCATAGTATCTATCAACATAAATACATATAATTTTTATAAAAATATCTTTGATGCCCTAGCTGGCTTGGCTCAGTGGATAGAGCGTCAGCCTGCGGACTGAAGGGTCCCTGGTTTGATTCCAGCCAAGGGCACATGCCTGGGTTGCGGGCTCGATCCCCAGTAGGGGGTGTGCAGGAGGCAACCGATCAATGATTCTCTCTCATCATTGATGTTTCTATCTCTCTCCCTCTCCCTTCCTCTCTGAAATCAATAAATATATTTAAAAAAATATCTTTGAGGCTCTAAAAATCACACATTACATATGATTTTTAGAGTGTAGTTTTTTAGAAGTTGTCAAATCTCTGAATATGGTAACCAAATTCAAGTTTTATTCACCTAGTAAAATAGTGACAATATGTCCGGAAGGATCAAAATCTGGTTTTAAATTGCGTAATATGGCTAATTGCCAAATTTTGGCTATTAGAGAAAAAAATAATGTACAACAAATTAATTACATTTTTGCATTTCTAGTTATAAATCACATTATTTAAATGGTTTTATTTTTACTGTTGGCCATTTTGTGTGTCTCAAACATATACTGATTTATGCAAATTTTAAAAGGCAACACGTTTATCAGGTAGTATTACTTAAGCAAAAACATTTTAACTTTAAGAATAAATACCTCAAAATAAGAATAAAAATAAGGATAATTAATTAATTTATGTTTGTTTTGTGCTTTTGTAATTATTAGGCTTTTTATCTGCAGTAGAATATTGGAACTTATCTGTATACTATTCGTAATATTAACTTTTGTTATAATTTACTTAAAGGAAATATTCTTAATTTATTATATATGACAGTCAATAGGTAAAAGTGAATGTTGAATATATAAGCAATTATCAAAACAGTATCTTGGTTTAAGAAGATAAAGTAAATCATAGAAAGAATGTAAAATGAAAACTTTAAAATTTACTTCTCATGGTTATGTTGATGAAGATAATAGCAACATTTATTGATTGTCAGTCATTACCAGGCATTTTATTACAATTGCACACATTATATATATTTAATATCTAGATTAATCCAGTCAATAAAATAATATTATCTTTTTTTTAGCAGAAAAGAAAACTGAGGCTTAAAAAAAAATTAAGTAAATTTCTCAAAATGACTCAGATGGTAAGAGCTGGAATTCTCAACTAGTTCTGCCAGTCTACAAAGTCCATATAGATACATATTATGGCTTTGAATATAGCCATTTAGGTAAGAAATTGTGAGAGAAAAAATATATGTGAGCTAGATGCCTTCCAAAGAATCAGAAGTTGCATTTTTCCTTATGAATCCAAAAGTATTCATGTGCAATGTAAAAAATAAAAGTCAAACATATAAAGATAATAATTGTCGTTGGGCATTTCTGTTTCCATTATTGCTGATTATAACTCACCATAGTATTTCTCATTGTATTAAATTGTTGTTTTTTGGATGTTTCCAGAGTCAACCACAGCAATTATCAATAAATTTTGTTTTACTGAACTGAATATTTCTCAAACTCTATTATAATCTTTTGCTCTGGAATTTCTGAACACAATTTGGATGTTTAAACAGTTGATTTTTTGAGACTGAAAAGAGAAATTGAGTGACATGAGTAGGGTTAGAGTCCTGTATAGCTACTGTAGCATGGATAATTCAAAATAAACTGCAAATTTCTTATATATTTTTTTAGACAATTAGCCTAATGATGGAGGAAAATTTCCCTAACAGGTAGAATATTATATGGAAACAATTTATGTTCTCACTAACACTTTAATAAAAGTAGAAATTTTGAAACTTCAAGTTGACAGTTTTGTCATTTCTGATCTGAGCTATTGTTTATTCATTCAGCCAAACATTTAATGAATGCCTGCTGTGGTATTCCAAACACTGTAGTGATACAAACATGAGGAAATATGGCAGAGTTCACGGTCTACTGAAGTAGATAGATATTAATCAAATAATCTCACCAATAAATGTGAAATTATAGATATGGTGTTACAAAGGCCAGGCATATATGATCACGTGAATTCATTTACTGAGAAAATATATTTAGACTAGTGGCCCAGTGCATGAAATTCGTGCATGGGGAGGGAGGGGGTGTCCCTCAGCCCAGCTTGCACCCTCTCCAATGGGGGACCCCTTGGAGGATGTCCCACAGGGATCGGGCCTAAACTGGCAGTCAGACATCACTCTCACAATCTTGGACTGCTGGCTCCTAACCGCTCACCTGCCTGCCTGCCTGATCACCCCTAACTGCCTTCCCCTGCTGGCCTGATCTCGCCCCCAACTGCCCTCCCCTGCTGGCCTGATCTCACCCCCAACTATCCTCCCCTGCAGGCCTGATTGCCCCTAAACCTCTGCTGGCCTGACCTCACCCCCAACTGCCCTCCCCTGCCAGCCTGATCGCCCCTAACTACCTCTGCCTCGGCCCCCACCACCTTGGCTTTGTCTGGAAGGAAGTCGGACATCTGGAAGATGGCTGGTCGACCCAGTCTAATTAGCATATTACCCTTTTATTAGTATAGATAGATTATATAGGATAGGTTTGCTTAAATGGGGAGGAAAAGCCATTTTCAGCAGGAGGAGATGCTCTTGGCAGACAAATTACATAATCCCTATATCTGGACTGATAGCCAGCTATATGCACTATACTGCCAAACTGGTCATTAAAAAATTGAACCATTTTCTTATACCTTACACCAAACAACGGTTGCCCTTAAAACCCCTCTTCAGGCCCCACCGTAGGTTCTCCCTTTGCAGTTCACCTAGATTAGGTTCTGATAGGTCAGTTTCTATGCCAGTCAGCATCTCTGGGCCTATCTCTGGGACTGATCAGAGATGTGGGGCTGATCAACAGCCACCTTCAGGCTGCTGGTGAGTGCGCTGAACTGATGATCTCTCGATGAGTGAGAGAGGCACGGCTGCTGGCGAGGCCCAGAAAGAGAAAGAAGCAGGATCTGATCTGCAGCTTGCTTCTCATTCTCTCTGGGCCTCGCCAGCAGCCGTGGTAGCCACTGATCAGCCCTGCCTCTTTCTCCGAGAGAGGTCAGCAGTTCAGCTCGCTCTCCAGTCCCCACCCACCAGAGCCTGTTGCATACACAGCCTGGATTCGGTCGAGCCTTCGGTCGTTTTGGACATTACAGACCCTGGGTTTTTATATATCAGGATTGTGAATCAATCTTCCCTAGGAAAAGTCATTCTGGGTTGAAAGTTGGACAGGTGGCTATGCAAGGTGGCAGAAGGGTGAAGTTGCGAAGAAGACTTCTTGGAGAAGAAGCACTGTGTGAAAAAATCCTATGCTAATGGTTGGCTTTTAAGTTTTGAATGGTGTCCCCTTAAAAAAGATACATTGAAATCCTAACTCCCAGTATCAGAGAAGGTGACCTCACTGGGAAAGAGAGTCGTTACATAGGGAATGAAGTTAAAATGAGTCATGAGGGTGAGTCTTAATCCAGTGACTGGTACAAAGAAGAAATTTGGAAACAGAAATACACGGAGAAGGCCATGTGAAGATGGAGGACGGCGTGATGCATTACAAACCAAGGGATTCCAAAGACTGCCGGCAAATCCCCAGAGGCTTGGAGAGGAAAGAAAGGATTTTCCTACAGCTTTCAGAGGGAGCATGGCCCTGACAACACCATCATTCCAGAACGTGAGACAATACATTTCTGTTGTTCTGAGGCACTCAGTTTATGCACTTTGTTACAGCAGCCCTAGGAATCCACATGATGAGTCAGGGTGAGAGAAGCATTATACACTTGAGTAATGAAAGGGTAATTGAAACACAGAAAGTGAAGGGGGAAAATGGTTTGAGACAAACTTGTAATACAGGTTATAGATTTTTTTTGTCTCATGGAAAGTAATTGATGCAATTCAATTAGGGAAGGAGAGTAATCAGATTTTAGTCTGGGGAATGGACTTAAGGATGGGAAGAATGGAAGTAGGGAAATGAGTTACCTGACTGTTGTTTTGCTTTGGGTGAGAGATGATTGATGCTTAAAATAGAATGTTGCTACATGGTAATAGTCTGAGGAAAGTAAAAAAAAAATGTTGAAATATTGCAGAAAGAGTCAGTTGTCCAAAGTAGTGGGTAGAACTGCCAGGCACTGCTGAAGACCAATTTGAAATTAGTGATTTGGAATCCATTGTGGCATTATTCCCTGTTCTGTGACTCTCTCTGGTAATAAGATGGCTGCTTAAGCTCATCCAGATAAACATTCTCTGGACCTTGAGAAGAAATGATCGAATCTCAGATATAAACTCACTCAAATATCAGTACTTTTTTCTTCCTTTAAAGAAATATATATCTTTGATGTGGTCATATTA